GAAACATATACATTTATACATACGTTTACACGTAAACAGCGGAACAGGAAACAGCCCGCCCGAGTACCGTCTTTATGTCAGGAGTCATGACTGTTCGCTCCCTGTAAGGGGCCAAGACAGATCAGATGCGACGCACTGAGCAACTTTAACAATTATTATTCTGTCCTTTTTATTTCCTTCGGATTCGAAGCCATTGTCTATACTAATATCATCAAAGAGAATGTTGGTTTGTATTTAACAAGTAATCTGGAAATCTACTTGTTTTTTAAAATCTCATTTCCATTTTAAAAAAATCTCATCGCTCCAGGGATGCTCAGACACGCACTCTGAGCAGTACTAAGGATCCAGGACCAATCTTAGTTGCAGGTCTTAGTCCACCAAACCACTGACCGTTGGTTACCATGGGTCTAACGACCGTTGTGTATCCAGCTTTGGATTCAGTCCCCAGCTTTTCCCACAAAGGCGTTTGCACCTGCCAATGGCAATCTTTGCTCTTTGTATGATTTAGTTTAGTTGTTGATTCCGTGAAAGTCTCTGGTCGAAGAACCGAATCAATAAATAAGGTTTCTGTACAAATAACAAATTTGCAATTAATCATTCAAATTTTCATACAACGCGAGAGGACAAACTATAGCTCTCAATAAGCCTAGGAACTACGCGATTATCTGTAAACTATAAAGATGGACGAAAATTGAACAAACGATGACGTTTTCATCTTCATATGTAACTTTTCGGCTGTTATAATCTCAAAACAGCTTTCATATTTAGAAATGATGAATGATGGAAAAAAACAACTTTAATACCTAAATTCACTAATTTCGTGGTCCGCTTGACCAATTAATATATTACAATTAATTAAGGTTTTTAGTTGAGATAAAAAAGTCAATGGCACGAGCGGGATTCGAACCCACGATCTTCGGCTAGATACGCCGCTGCTCTACCACTTGAGCTATCGTGACCTCGATCCACTCGGACACCAACTTCCCATCTCAAACCCACCTTTGGAATTTTCCCTCCTTTTTGCCATTTTTCAAAAGTCGTGTAATCGGATTGGATTCTCGACGACAAATGAAATGGCCACGGAGAGCTTTAGTGAAGTATACTTCATTTTAAATCATTAAATTCACTAATTTCGTGGTACGCTTGACCAATTAATATATTAAATTAAATAAGGTTTTTAGTACACAGTTTTTAAGGTTACACGACATTTGAAAAATGGCAAAAAGGAGGGAAAATTCAAAAGGTGGGGTTGGTGTCCGAGTGGATCGAGGTCACGATAGCTCAAGTGGTAGAGCAGCGGCGCATCAAGCCGAAGATCGTGGGTTCGAATCCCGCTCGTGCCATTGACTTTTTTTATCTCAACTGAAAACCTTAATTAATTGTAGCTTATATAAGACATTACTGCGACCACTTTAGATATAAGGAGTGGAAACGGCGGGATTCTGCCAAGCCATCCGACATCCTGTGCATGCTTTCAATCAAACGTCCTCAGACAAATGGTCAAAGCTCCTTACTACTTCACTAACTTCACTATTCGCCATTTTCCGAATCCAAAAGTTTTACACCAACCTCTCGATTTATCCTAAACCTTCTGCTTTATCCCTATCTAGACATAACCATCCTTAATCGACGATGGCCTCGAGACCTCTTGGCCCTTAATCCCTCACAATCAGTGCCAGTATTGGCTGGTTTCTCATCGCATTTATCTTCACGGTGCAGCGCTGGCCTTAGTGCTAGTGCTGTGTCCGTGTGAAAAACGTCTTGTGTTCACATTTGTAATAATATGTTCTTATATTTATAGTGTACAAAAAAATTTAAAAAGTTATTAAACTATCGTTGAAATTAAATTGAACAATGAAAACTTTTGAACACGTCTTGACAAGCAAGTATCCTTGGCAAAGAAGTTCAAGTTAACGGGAATCAAAATGAGGTCGAATAGTTTCTTGGAATAAATCGCAAATTTTCCCAATTGATTGCAATTTTTTCGGATTAACCGCCTAATTTAACCGGTTTTACCAAAAATTACGGCATTTTCAAAATGGTGGCGAAAAATCGTAAATCATACATGTGCATTTTTAAACCAACTTTTGAGTATTTTTTTTATACGTTTTTGTTTAGATTGTTAGACATTTTCAACAGACGTGATGCCATTTATAACTGAGTATGAAGTATATATTCAAGCCCATTGAAAATATTATAACGATATAAAAATGGTCAAAATTCACATAAATATATCAATAATACTGCATTTTACAAAACTTGCTGCGGACTTAACTACCGCGAACCGGCCGTCTGATGGTAAAAATGCATTAATATCCATTAACCCTCTTCCATTTTATTTCTCATGGGCATATTTTGTTTAAAATAAAAATTAGCCCCATTATATTTAGTGGTATGATTGACCATACTTCTTTCAATTAATTAATCTTTTTATGTAAGGCCTTGGTTGAAATAAGTATAAATTAGCATCAAATAGAATTTTTGATTGGGCGGAGGGGTTCTTCTTAGTTGAAGTAACAAATCTCCTCAATATTGTTAACTGTTTGAATTTGTATTTTTTGTTCCCCTCCTGGCTAGCGATAACGTAAATTTTGCAATATAATGAGTAAACTATCTAAAAATACAATTTTCACGAAAAATAAGAATAATTATTCAGAAATTTTGAGATGCGGTTTGGTGTGATGTAGGTTTCAGAAAAACATTTTCTTTATCGTGCCAACGTTTCGATCTTTATTGAGATCACCTTCCCCACCCCTTCAAAATCCAACGTATATAAACATAAAACAGCAAAATCTCACTGGCACTCTCGACACGACACGCAAGAATGGCACAATTACACAGAAGACAAACACTTTGAGTGAGTAGAAATACTTTGATTGAATGTAAAAAATATATTTTCCATTGTATAAATTCACTTTTCCACATCTTAAATGTATTTGTTAAATGTAAACAATGTTTGTAAATCCCAGGCCCTGAAGATGATCTCAATAAAGATCGAAACGTAGCACGATAAAGAAAATGTTTTTCTGAAACCTACATCACACCAGACCGCATCTCACGATTTCTGAATAATTATCGATTAGCGGTCACTAATCACCACACAAAAATAAGAATTTTAAAAAGTCTATCATTCTGGCCTGAACAATTTTTATTACTGTAATTTGTAATTGTGTCATGACTGCCACTCCTAAATTAGCTAAATTTTATATATATATATATTTTTTTTAAATAGCTTTATGTTCTAGCATTTAGCCAATGACAATGTTATTATGCGTATTTATTTGGGGGGGGGGGAAACGCGAAAAAAAGGCCAGAGGCGACGGCGGGAATTGAACCCACGACCGCGGGGTCTACGAGCCCCATTGTATATAATTAAAACAATAAAATATATTTTTTTAAAAATCATGTTGTATGTGCCATTAATTGTTTTGTACGGCAAGCATAGATGGTGAAATTCACCTGACAAAGCCAGGATCAGAGATGATGCCATCACCTCAACTTCTAACAGTTTATATCTATAATTGTGACTAATCTTTTTCACAGGAGACCATGGTGGCTGAGTGGTTAGGATTGTATTTTGATGGTTGTTCCTAACCGAGTGGTTAGGATCCATGCTAGTGGTTTGAATCCCCGGCGTAGCCCATGGATTTTTAATTGTGACTCATTTGGATTCTATTGAAACATGGTTTGACCCTTTGTCCATAAAACCCAATGGATTAAGCCCTTCTGTGTGATAGGTAATTCTTTTGTTTTTTCATTTTTTATAGTCTGACTTTTTTAAAATTTTTTTTTTTACAACTGCATTCTGCGATGCAACAACATATAACACATAAACAATTATAACATCATAAAAGCTGTAAACAGTTACAATCCAGTGATGGTACCAGTTAGTACACCAATACGATGAACGAGATGGACTCCGTCCTAGGAGACCGATGTCAAATGTTAGGGTTGTTGCGGGGCCACTGACGCTTCAGTCTTCTGTTGGGATTATTAGGTAGTGTGGATGACAGGTTTTTGAAGAAAGGGTTCGGATGATGGGGTAGTTTGGAATGGAACGTTTTGTAGCGGGATTCAGCTAGCTTGGTAACAAGAGGGGCATTTAGGTTGGTATGGATGGTGTGATTGGATACATAGAAAGAGGCGTTGACTATTGTTCTGAGGATTTTGGATTGAAGGAATTGGATTCGATTGAGGTTGGAACGCTTAACAGTCCTGTAAAGTTCAAGTCCGTATGTCCAAATGGGGCCCAGGAGAGCAATGTAAAGTTTTCTTTTCTTTGTTAGTGAGAGTTTTGATTGTCTGTCGAGTAGTTTAAGCATGAAAAATTGTATGTTACAGGAGAGAGTAAAAAAACAAACAAAAAAACAACATCAAATAAAATAATAATAATAATAAGAGTAGAATGGTGGGGGTGTTGGTGGCCGCAACGGTTTAGGTGTTGTCACTGTAATATAAAAGTCCTGTGGCCCTGCATTCAAATCCGCCATACTTATGAAAACAGTAAACTTCAAGTTATTAGATAAGGATCAAAGTTAAAAAAAAAAAGGCTAAATATTTTTAAAAGCTTTATTTGTATTTGAGAATAAACGGTGCAATCTTAAAGGCTAAAAGTTTAACTTTAAGTATGGAAGGCCATTTATAATTCAAATAATAAATGACTTGTTCACAAAAAATAACGTTTAAAAAAATTGTTCATTTTTAGCACCATAAGTATCAAAATTTAACAACTAACAATTTAAATAAAGACATTTTCTGATATAAATTGAAATAGTCGATCACCTCATTTATGGCAGTTTTATATTTATTTTACAATATAAAAATATAGCTTTGCTTAAATTTGTTGTCGTAACAAAATTACGACACACATAGCTTGGCATGAAGCACTGAATAATTATTACAAAACAATGTATCTTAACTTTTGGATCTTTTATTTATTTTGTACACTGATATACACATAAAATAGAAAATATTTCCAAAAATAATATATAATACTTGTAGTAATATTATTTCATGTAATAATCGCAGCATGCAAAAAAGATACAGCAAGAATAATAACTTGCTTTTTGGTTTCAGCTGCTTTGCACTCAAGAAAAAAAATTTAAATTAATACAAAAATGCATTTTTTTATGAGTAAAGTGTATTTTCAATCCATTCCTCCATAGTGAAAGTAGCCTTATTTGTGCCAGTCGGGTCTCTTTCTTGGAAAATTTCTTAAAAAAAAAAAAAATAATTACAATTTGTTGTTAAAAAGGATTAACTAATTCTTTCTTACCAAGCATTGATTTCAATCGAACAGCGCACATCATGAAATCGTCAAACGCTATCCTTGCATCTCTACCAGCGTATCTGTGACAAAGGGCGTTCAGAATGTGGTTGTTCAGCCTGTACCCGGCCGAATTGAGAGCCTGCCTTAGATCGAACGGGCTGAGGTAGCCTGTGCTCTCTTTGTCGTATAATTTGAACACATTCTGTAAATATATGTTTTAAAATTTGGCATCCTTTTTGTACCTTTCATGGATAAACAATTTAAAAAAATAAAAATTAACAACCTTCCAATGTTTGATGTCAACCCACAAATGCTTAAACTCTTCAAAGCCCAATTTTCCTGAACGATCGGTGTCCATCATGGCGACCATACTGCGGCAAACATCTTTTGAAAATCCTTCAACTTTGAGCTCTAAAAAATTGAAACTAATTTTAAACCAAGCATAATTGTTTAAACAAATTTAAATAGTTATGATGTAATTCGTTTTTGTTGCCAGCATAATTCATTATATATTACCTCAGAACTTTCGCTTGAAGATAAATGATTTTGGTTTGTAAAAAAAAAGATAATTTGCTTACTATAAATATTAATATAAAAATTAATTATCATTGAAAACAATTTTTTTTACATTTTTAAAACATCAAAATTTTCAAATTTTTTTATTTGTAAAATTGCAAATCTTTTATGCGGAATGATATAACAAATGTAGTTCAATAACAAAATTTCTGGTCAAATTTTCAATTTTTTTTAGCACTTTTAGTGCTCAAAACTGCAAATCCTTTACACCAAACGATGCAGACAAAATGCTAGTTTATTTAAAAAAGAGGACTTTTTTAACGTAAAAATTAGCCCCCCCTGAGACATGATTATAAATACGTATTTGGGACGTTTAACTTTCTTATCTCATCTTCGATATAAAAAAACACTGACAAAACAAAACTTCTGCTTCAACATACATACAGTTAGAGATTGAAAGCTGGCCTGGGAATGCAGACGCTGCAACATTGTAGCTACTATAAATGATTTTATGTAATTTGCACAAAATTGGAAGAAAAGCAGCAAGCACTGTATCTTTCTTAAAATTAAATACCACCTTTATTTATCGTTATAATCTTTGTTTAACATAGAAACAAACAAAGAAGCTTAAGCAAACAAAAACATCACTATTCCAGGTAATAAGCATTGAAATAAAACTATTTAATAAAAAATATTTTTTTTGAAAAAAATATAAAAACCATCCATATGGAAAGGTACAAGCGACTTACCCTTTTCCTTCAGAAAGAAGGAATCTAAAAAATAAAATTCTAATATCACTTAGGAAAAGCTAATGTCCATGGCAAGACAAGTCATAAAGATAAACTATTAATTTTAAAATTTCAACATTTTGCACTATTCTTTTAATGAAGATATGTATAATATATAGATTGGATGACATAATTTGTTACACTTGGAATTATATTTTGTGACAGACATGCCTTGAAATTGTTACTCGTCTAAATAGGCACGACTTTTCTATTTTATCGCCATGAGAATTATGCAAATTTGATGACTGAAATGAGAAAACAAGAATAATGTTAGAATAAATCATATGTGATGTATTTATATATATGAAAGAACATAAAAGTATATGAAAATTTATGTATTCGATGTTAAGTATGTAATAAAACAAGGTAAGGCTGAGTGTTAGAGCAATGTTAATAACAAATTAGTATTTGCTGGGTGAAGGCTTGCTTACCAAACTGAGAGGCAAAAGGAGTATCACGGCAAAATGCGCCACAGAGGTTGGATAATAGGCCAGTAATAAAGTCAGTTTCGCCTCTCGGTACGTCTATCACAAGAAACACACAAGCTAATGGTTAACCATTGATTGATTACATACACTTTTGAAAAAAAAACAAAAAAAAACATAACAAAACAAAAATTGTTAACGCAGCATCGCATAAACATGTAAATAAAAATTACAAGTAAAAATAAAGAAAATGTATGAGTTCAAAACTTGATTATGGTTATTTTTATGTGATATCAAAGGTACTACGTCAAGGTAAAAATGGTCTTGTTTCTAAGAAGAATGAATTTTGATTTTTTTATTTATCAAAATCATGTAGAATATGTATTGTTTTTTTGTTTTTAGGAACTTCACTAGTCAATAGACACATTTTATTACTAAGAAAATTAGAAAAATGTATTGCAAAACTAGGGGAATAAGAAACTCATGGTTTATTGATGTTACAAAGCAAAAATAATTCCAATGGTGGAACAATTCATTTAATTTTCTGCAATGAAAATAGAGACCCTACTTTGTAGCCATGAATAGCTAATAGCTAAATAGCTACCACAGCTTAATTTAAATAAATATTTTTTTCATGTTTAGAACTAACCATGCATAAAAATTTTCTACCTAATTAGAGTACTTATTATCAAATATATACAGGGGGAGTTTAACCCCAAAAAAGTTTTTTATTGGGGAATTTTTGTAAACAACCCTGAGACACATAATTTTTTATGTTTTGCCTAGCTTCTTATGAACAAAAAGTTTGGATCTAACTCTCCAGAATAATGGGATACAAATAAAAGCTTGTCTACATGCTCATCGGTATAAATTTTTTAAAAGGTTTTTTGAAGCCGAATCCAATGGTGAAAATGGTTATTAATTTAGACTAACCGTTCTCAAGTTATTCACAAAAAAAAACATTTTTGCAAATAGCTCGAGAATGGTTGCTCTAAATTAAATACAGTTTTCAACATTTAATCAGCGTCAAAAAACCTTTCAAAAATATGTGTATTGATTTGTATCTTGCTATTTGAAATAAGTCAGATTCTATTTGTATCCTGTTATATCAGAGAGTTAGATTAAAATGTTTTGGCTCATGGGAAACTAGACAAAAAATAAAAGTTTATGTGTCTCGGGGTTTTAAAAAAACCCAATAAAAAAGAAAAAATATATATAAAGATGGGAACAGAAGTTAAACTCACCCTGTATTAAAAAAAACCATGCTTATTTATTTAATTACAGCCAAAAGTTAATTTGTCAGAACAGTGTGTTATACTGTTATGTATTTTGTGTTAATTAAATTAAGTTTGTTCTCCATTTTTTTTTTGTAGATTTTCTGTTTATAATTAGATCATAAGTTTCCATCATAATGTCAGTTATTTTATTACAAAATAACACATCAAAAACTTCAATCAAAAAACTCATTTTCTTGATACAATAATTTGAACTTGAAAAACTTGATAGTTTCCTGTTATAGCACAATGAAATTTTTGTTTTAAATTGAATAATTATTAAAATTCTTTCATTGCGTAAAATATTTAATTTTGAATGAATTTATTAAACACCTTTCACAAAGTGAATGTTACAATACGTACCATTTCGCATGGCATAGTCTAAAATTTCTTTAAGTTCTATCCAGTCGACCTCTTCATCGTCACCAGCCAGTTTCTTGAAGAATTCTTTGACTTTATCGTATTTCTCCTCCTTGACATCATCAGGCTCTTGATCTTCGGCCTCTTTGATCTAAAAATCCAATCCACTTTCAGTATTACACTTAACAAAAAATAAACCACATAAAAGAACAATAATAACCCTCGTGTCGATTTCTCCGATTCCGATCAACTCGTCGTTTTCTCTGTAAAAATCTAATTAATAAAACATTCAAACAAACGTACCAAAGATATTGTGTTATACGTACTCCATATGGGAAGCTTTTTCTGTAAACACTCTCAAGAGGAACTCGCCCTCTTCGTTAGGGTCAAAAGTAGACGGAACAATACAGTATGTACCCTGAGGGAGCTTGAAACGACAGCTTACCTCACGTAAGTTTATGAAAGAAGGAGATCTCGCCACAGAGGCATTATATTTAAAAAAATTCAGATTTAACGGTCTTGGTAACTTGTCTGGATCCTCAAGCTAAAATAGTTGAAAATATTTTTAACAATTCATTCAAAATATTTTAATTAATTATAATTGTCAATTCTACTAATAATTATAGTTACTATTAGGTACTATGCTTAATTTCAAGAGTTAGTTGTAGTTCACTACACAACTGCTATTTTATAAACAGTGCTAGGAAAGTAATTGTGCCTATATTCTAGACCTTTAAATTCAGCTGAAGAATTTACCGTTACTGTTGACATGAATGCCATCAGACTATCATATACATTTTTTAAAAGTTTTTAGACTCATTTCTTATTTAGACAAAACCCTATATATCAGGTAACCAGAAAATTGTGTGCGGTTTTTAGCCTGTTATTGTTTAATAAATCAAAATTTCTATTTACATAAGATAATTAGGTATTTACATCATGTAATACCAAAAGGACAGTGTGTCAGTTCTAAAAGTTAACTGTAAATTATAAAATATTTTCTTTATCATGACATCAAAATCATTAGTTCGTGCGTACTTGTATGAATTTAAGCTCAGTACCAGGGTTGCCAGAGCATCTCGTAAAATGTGCACTGCATTTGGTGATAAAACAATAAACGAGTGCACTGCTTAAAAGTGTGTTACGGTTCCTCGCCGGACCGTTGGCAATTCACACGGTCGCCGGGTACCTGCGGCTCAGTGGAGATTTTTTCCCGTGGCCGCTTCGTCTCCAAAAGGGGAATAATCGAGCACCACACTGTTTTTATTTTATTTTCTTCCTTTAGAAAAACAGTGAAACCCTCGGGGTGAAATAAAATAGCAAATAAAAAATATATTAAAAAAAACACAAGAAAATAAAATATTAATGTCCTCTGTATTAAGAATAAGATGTAAAACAAAAACAAAACAAAAAAAAAATAAAAATAAATAAATAAATTAAAAAAAAAATAAAAGAAGTCTCTTCAGAATTAAAACAAAAAAACTGTCCAGAAACCAATCTTATAACTTAAAAGCTCGAACCACGTGTACGTCCTTTTTCTCATCGTTCCAGAACGGTTCTCCCCTCGCACACGCAAACCCTCCACTCCACGACGATGAGAAAAGTCCCAAAAATAATAAATTATACACTGTCACGTTTTACTTTTTCGCCTCGCTCGTCCACACCGACCATTCCCAGCTTGAGGCCTCCTTGTCCACTCCCGTCGGACTCCACTCCTCGATAGTGTCCCCGCTGAGCCCTGGCCGGGCTTCCTTCGTCTTCCAAATGCCGCCCGTGCATCTTCAGCTTCTTCCAGACCTCGCTCGATCTTGCCGAGGGCACCCTCGCCTCTGCCCGAGTCTGGTCACCCCAGTGCAAAAAAAAATTTTGTTTTCCTCTCGTGTTCACTTGTAACAAGTGATTAAAAAAAGTTTTAGCCGTCATTTGGCGACCTACTGGTGTTGGAATACAGGATTCATTTTTTACCGTATGTGACAACCTGGTCAAAAAAGTCACTACTTTTTGCTGTGAAAGCAATGAAAGACAAATGTTTAGACAGTGGAGCTTGCTACCATCGGTCATTTTATGAGGAACCCATTTGCTCAGCTTCCACGTTGGTGTACGACAGAGTGAATGATTTCATCACTTACGTTGAATACTCTGTCGAGTTCTTGACATGTTTAACTTGAATCAAGTTCTACAGCTTTGCTTAATTCATCTTCATTCAAGACAGAAGGTCTACAAGACCTTGGTTCATCTTCAATCCCTTCATTATCAAAAGCAAATTTTTGAATCACTTTGAGGCGGTGCATATCACTGAATGCAGCGCAAATTTTACAATCTGCCTTGGCCACCCTAGTACATAAAATTTGTTCAATAAACACATATAGTTATGAGATTAGGGAAAATGGGATAATGAGAAAGAAAATATTTTATAATTTATAGTGAACTTTTCAAAACACTTTCTCTTATTGAAAAATTACTTAGTATGAACTGTCACAATATCCTCTTGGTATTACACTTAATCCTCCCATGTAAATAGAAATGTTGATTAACAATATTTAATAAAACTCACACACACACACACACACACACACACACACACACACACACACACACACACACACACACACACACACACACACACACACACACACACAAAATTAACTTTCCTGGTTATCTGGTTTCAAAAAGAAGACTTACATGATAAATTGCAAATCCTATCGTGAGGCACTCCACTCCTATTTTACGTTGAGCCCTTCTATTTTTCTGCATGAGGGCAACTATCATGGTACACTTGTTATCCTCGTCATCCTCATCAGCTTCTGTCAATTCCACGGTATACTGCGGATTGTGCCAGAAAGTTTCTGTAAGTAAAAATTCACCGATTAACTGCATTTTGGTTCGCTTAGAATGATATTTTACCTAGGAAATTTCTGCAGCCTCCGGCGGTAACACCTCTGACCCATTCCCCTTCAAACACACTCATTTCCCATTTCTTTTTGTTATCGTGTATGAGGGAGTCTGGGTTAAGATTACATATTTCCAAACGGCTGAAATACTTCATAAAATCTTTGAAAGACATCCAAAATTCACCATCAGACTCAAATATCAGGCCAATCTCCTCTTTTTTCTCATCTGAAATATATCTCCACTCCGGTGACCTGAAAAGGAACTTAGATTAATTCAACCAAAGTAAAAATGATTAATTTACTACATGCAAAAACATCCCAAGTCCTAAAATCTATAATATTCTTTACTTAACTAAAAGCTGAGAAATAATTTGATAATTACTTGTCACTCCAGGCTCCGTTCCATTCTGCTTCGTTTCCCCAAGGATTTCTAAGTCTAAGAAGAGGTATTTTCCCTGAAACGTTTGGCGTTTGTATATCAACATATTGGATCCTTGTAACACTATAAGCATGCCCTTTGACTAAACCCTGAGATGTTTGCGCTTCTGTCACATTTGGGTCAGGCTGGAAAAAATACCTTTCAAACATGAAAATAAAAGACCCAAATATTTAACATGTCACCTCGATTGAACAGGCCAATAGCGAAGATCTTTCATGAGCTTTGAGGACGATTTGGAAGAGATTTGATGGGGCTTCCTCTAGAACGTACATCTCTGCAAGGCCACCGGTGAAATCCTCCATCGCCTCATTGGTGCTGCCTCCTTTCAGTGCTTCATAAGATCCGTGAAGCCTTCACATCAAAAACCAATTGAAACAATGTATAACATTAAAACTCGCAAAGCATACTTGGCATAGGCTTTTTCTAAAAGTGCACTCCAGAATTCATTCGGCTCAGAAGAATGGAGGAAAATCAGTTGACCATTGTACGTCGGAAGCCTGTCATCTATAACCACATCAACCCATCTACCGTACTGCCAAAATCTAAAATGGAAGATCCCTGCATACTTATTTTTGAAGTTCTGGTCGTCAGGTACAACTTGTTTAAACAACTCCTCGTTCAACGTAAGATTTGCTACTGCTGCTAAGAGCCAACAATCACCTAAAAAAGATGAAAAATTCCATTACAACTTTTTTTAAATTGTATGTCAATGACTGCAATCTTTGTATAAATATGTATTGTTCCATTTTCAATAAGAAAGAATTTGTTGGTTTTTATATTTGTGTTGTGGGGACTGCGGTGGCTGAGCGGTAAGGGCATCTGACTTGTATTTTGCCATGCTGGGTTTGAATCATGGCAGGTAGGTTTTTAAGGTGATTATATGTATATGACAGGAATTACTTGTTTTAAAACTTATATTTGTACTGTCAGAAATAAAGAGAGTTATCCACAAATCCATTTTGTCAGGAAGAGTAAAAAAAGAAAATATTGTTTCCATAAAATAAATAGGACATTTGTCAAATTTATATATTAAACGAAAATTTATTGCCATCGAGTAAAGTTTCTCTGAGTAAAGCAGATAACAAAACTCACCAAGTTCTCCCTGCTGGACATCAAACCTAGACGCCCCTTCAATAAATAGGCGAGGATCGTTGGATATTTCCTGTAAAAAAAAATCAATGATCACATTTGGGTCAGGCTGGAAAAAATATTTTTTAACTGTGAAAATATAAAACACAAATATTTAACATTGAGGCCTTCAATAAATAGGCAGTGAACGTTGGATATTTCCTAAAATAAATCAATGATCAAATCTGAGAATGTGAACATAAAGATTTGAGCATTTTCATTAAACATATTTACAACACATCATAAATTTTTAAACGAATTTGATTCTAAATTAATTTAAAACAGTAATTCTGTACAATTTAATTACCAACATTTAATCAGTATTTATTTTATATATAATGTAATTGAATTAATATTATAATAATAAATTAAATGTAGAAAAGTCAGGGTCAAAAATGTTTTTCTTACAGTAGGCCGCATCCAAACAAACGGTCTTGGAGGTTTCTTGCTAAAAAATATCGAAGAGTCGACTGGCAGGAACTCCGGGTCCTCGAACAGTTCTCCTTTCGCCAAAAGATCATCTCTGATTTTTGTGAAGTCTTGTATCTGTTGACTTCTCGGCCTTAGACCAGAGCCTCGCTCTCCCAACTGTAAACCGAAACAAAGTTAATCAATCTCATACAATTTTCCAAAACTTTTATTTGAAATACGTTGTAAAAGGTATTGTCAGTTTTATACGATCGTTTATTATCTCCCTCCATAATATAATAACACACCCACCTGATAAAAACAGTTGCTAATATGTTTGAATAGATAGCTGATTTATTAGATAATTTTAGTATTATTTAAAAAAAAAGTTTTGTGGATAAAATTATTACATTTTGGATGCATGTCAATAAGTAAATTAGACAGACAAATTGATTTACACAGAATAAAAACTTCTTAATGTAGTATGATTGAAGCTAACAAAATTTGCTAACATGGAGTTTCTTTATTTTGATTGTTCATCAATAATATAATTATCATAATAAAGAAAGGTACAACTGTCAAAGTATTAATTATTAATTAATTAAATGGTGCTGAAACATAGCCTTAAATAAGTGTGACAGCAAAAAATTAATAATTCATTTATTTATTAACAATATACAGAGCCAAATTCGAAAGTGGAGAGTGATGTAGAAATAATAGGGAAATAACAGATATACATGAACACCAAGATGTACGCCATATTAAGGCAGAGAAGATGAGAACGTTGGGACACATAGAAACTCCATCAGAGGAGTGGTTACCAAGAGTAATATATATAAGGAGAAGGTGGTAGGAACCAGAAGGAAGGAAAGACAAAGAATCAGATGGAAAGATGATGAAAAGGATTTAAGGACGATGAGAATCTTTAACTGGAGAGAGCTCATAAAAGCCACATTGGATTGTAAATGCCAATAAGCACTAAATAATAACTATAGATTCAATGAAGGACAATTTAAAATTGTATAGCTATTTACCTGGCAATCTTCCACAATAATATAATCAAGGATTTAAAAAATTATATATGCAATGATTATTTTATTGCGGCATTATATCAATACTAAATATATTGATCCATGATTTTATGAAAAACTGTTATTATTAAATTGTAGAATATATGATGTATAGTAAAACTGTTTTAAGCAAACTTGATCATACTTAAGGATTACTTTGATGCTAATGACCTCAACTTAGTTGATATAATGTGTGCTATGGCGTTTTCTAAGGTTGTCTAAAGCCTGATAACTTTAGATCTCTGGTAGAAGTTTCACATATTTGGGGTTCCTTTCAGCTCCACAGTTTGTTAATGCTAGCAAGCATTTTTTTAAAACAAAAATGCTTCGGCTACCTTGGTTGTCTTGGCAACTCTGATGTAAAAGTCGTCATCAGATCATGAGAAATGTCAGGTTTATGTTTTCAAATTGCAACTTCTGTTGTTTTCAAATGTTCTGTTTGATTAAAACTTTGATATTGTAATTGGCTTGAATGAAACCATAGATGTACTGAAATAAAAGAAAATAATTCGATTTGTCCTTCTAACATTTCATTTTAAAATATATTAATGAATAAGTATTTGATTGTTCCATTTTCAGCTTCATCATGGAGCATTTTAAGCACTTATTGACCGAACGTCTATATAAGTTTTTATGGTTTAATTATAATTATTACGTTACGAAAGTAAATCTCATGATATTTGCTGGGAAGGGCTAGGAAAAAAGTATTTCCAGTTTATTAAGTATAGCATGCGAACTACTCTAGAATATCCGGCGCTGCCCTTTATGGGTCAATAGGTCAAATATTATCAAGCAGTTGTAAAAGTACCTCTAGCAATAAAATGTCTATGACGGTTTAAACAAATTCAGCAGCAGTAAAAAAGAACTAGGATCAAGATTTTATTTTGCAGTTTCGGTGGGGGATTTACCAGTCTTGAAAATACCATTTTCTCCTGCTTAGTTTTAAAAAAAATGGAATAAATAGAAATTTTATTAAATAAATAAGACAACAATCTGGACTGATTATTTGCAACACGACGACACGGTTATGTCAGATTGTATTTTATGTATTTACTAAGAGAAGAGGATTCGATCGTAATTTATTTACGATTAACGTAGATTAACGATTATAATTACCTCAGGGGCTTTTCCTCTGACAAAGGACACTTCGTCCACTTCGGCAGCATCCATTTGGCAGGGGACCCGTTGCGCAAACCACCCCGAACCACCCAACCCTTTCCGGCGACCTAATTCTATTCATTCATTCGCCCTCCCTTATTTCAAATTTGATGGCGGTTTTGTAAATTTTATGACTGCAGGCTGTCCAGGTTAGTCAAGTATTGTTTTATAAAAAAAATTAAATAGGTATCATGTATAAAAAAAGATCAAGACACTTGACAGTATCGCACTTTTAATTATGGTTATGGTAAACTGGTTCCTTTTATTATTAATAAGTTTAAATGATGTTTTAACAGCCACGATTATTCCTACTAACAACTAGTTTCATTATTATTACTAAATGTACTGTATAATCGTTAAAACATGTTACTATTATAATTAATCGTACGGTCATAACTATTAAAACAACTAGAATCGATTACTTCTTACTATCATTATATTCCCGTTGTCATTAGTATTATTACTACTGATAATATCTGTATAAAAGTATAATTAAAATAATTATGTAAAGGTGATCGACCAGAAACTATTCACAATATATTTGGTCGGATCACTATTTTACAAATTAATACCACATACTAAACCGAAAATATTACGAAAACAAAGAGCTGTCAACTTAAATTTTCGACTTAATCTATGATATTAATTTATAAAAAGTGCTATTTATATATTTATTAAAATACCGTTATATTTAGAATTAAAAAAAAAACAATAAATGGTAAAAAAGAGACAAAGTTTTATACATGTTGAAAAAAGAAAATAATCCATTATATTTAGTGGTCTATTGACCAAATTACTTTCAATTAATTAATATTTTTACGTAGGTTTTACGTTTTAGCCGAAGATCGTGGGTTCGAATCCCGCTCGTGACACTTAACTTATTCGTTCCAACCAAAACTTTACGTAAAAAGATTAATTAATTGAAAGAAAATAATGTTTGAAATTGACTGGTAATTTAGCCCTGAGGAAGGTGAAATAAAACACGGAAAGCATGGTACAGTTTCAATGCACAACATACATTAGACCACATTCCCGATTCCACCAAATATAAAATTAAAACAGGTAAAACACGTAACTTAGTTCGTTAGTAGTATATTATCTTTGTTAGCTCAGTATAGAATTTTTTCTACTTGTTTTACTATTGCCATCATTAAAACGATTGAAATGATTCTACTACAAATATATTACTATTTATAGTATTATTTTATCGATAAAACTAACTGTATAATCATTAAAACGGTTACAGGCAAATATTTGCTTAAACATTACAAATCATTTTACTTCTAGTCTTGTTATCACTAGTACTTCTATTACTTATAATCCAGTTATTACTACTCTTGTTATCACTACTAACATTACTACTTCACTGTCTGTATAGTCGTTAAAACCTGTTACTAAGAACCAATCCTATCGTTATAACTATTAAAACGACTAAAATCGAATTACTTCTTACTATCATACTAATCACGTTAACGTTACTATTGTTACTACTAATACTATCTCTATAAATACATAATTCAAAAGTTAAAGCATATACTCAAATTTATTGGTAATATTGTTACCTCAGTTGTTGTTGCTAGTTCAGTATAATAATTTTTTCGTTATTTTGTACTATTGCTATCATTAGAATGATTAAAATAATTTTACTGCTATAAGAATTTTACAATTTATACTATTATTTATTGATAAAAGTAACTGTATAATCATTAAAACGGTTACAGATAAAGATTCGCTTAAACATTACAAATAGCTAAATTCACTAATTTCGTGGTCCGCTTGACCAATTAATATATTACAATCAATTAAGGTTTTTAGTTGAGATAAAAAAGTCAATGGCACGAGCGGGATTCGAACTCACGATCTTCGGCTAGATACGCCATTGAAAAATGGCAAAAAGGAGGGAAAATTCAAAAGGCGGGGTTGAGATGGGAAGTTAGTGTCCGAGTGGATCGAGGTCACGATAGCTCAAGTGGTAGAGCAGCGGCGTATCTAGCTGAAGATCGTGGGTTACTACTAATATTCTGTATAAATACATAATTAAAGCTTGTATATTATATTTATTAGTAATATTCTATCTCTCCTAGTTCAATATGGTATATTTTGCAATATAATGTAGTATTGCTATCATTAAAACGATTAAAATAATTGTATTAATATAAATATAATATTATTTATGCTACGGTTTGATAAAACTATCTGTACAATCTTTAAGATGGTTGCTGGTAAAATGTTTCTTCAACATTAAAACTCATATTACTACCAGTACTGTTATCACAACTATTACTAATATTCCCGTTATTACTACTACTCGTGTCATACTATTAATCATGTTATCACAAATACAATTACTACTATAATTAATGCTACTCTTGTCATTACTATACACGGTTAAACACGTCTTCTACTAAAGCATATTCATTCAAGAAAAAAATATAGGAAGACTTTTGTTTAAATTTAATGTAAACAAATGTTAATCGACAGATTTTTGAGATAGAGATTTTCGATAGATGTTTCATCTGAGTTGTTTCATTTATTTACTAATTTTGTAAAATTTATTCTTAGTTATCTGACTTCACGTCACTCATGTCACCTATCTATGATTTACAAGTTCATTTTTTTTTAAACTATTAAAACTAATTTTTTTATCTTACTTGTCTTTGGTTGGTTTTTTGTTTTTTTGTAGGATTTATAAGCACTTGCTTTTAATATTATTGAGATTAGAATATTGGTTTTGGTTTTATGCTTGATATAGATTTTTTTTCTGGCGTCTAATGAACAAAAATAAAAAGTGTTGAAATACTCAAACGTTTGAGAGTTTGCAATCTTAAACTTTTTGACAACTGGCTGACCATTGTTGATTTTAACTGACATTTTGTATATATTTAGTAAATAAATCATTTCAAATTTAAAGTCATATAAATTATCTGTGCTTATAGTGTAATAAATCATACA